CTTTTGGTTCATGTCGATTCGTAATAACGTCGGAAACGGGGCTGAAAACACTGACATCTTTGACCTTCCCGATTGGAGGGACGCTGTCTGCCGCTTGGCTGACATTCATCCATCGTGGCTCGATAAACTCGAGAAATCAGCCGCTGGAGATTTGGAAATCCCTAGGATTGGTGGAATCATCGATTTTAGTGTTCCTAGCGGCAACTACCCCATCCTTGTCAACCTGCCTCATGATTTCCAATTCGTCCTTCCGGCAATCATCGCTTCGCACCTTCCTATGCCCCTCTACATTTACTGGGGCGAGATCAAAAACTACCCAGAAGTTTTCATTCCCTCTGGCTTGAAGTCGTTGCAGTTTGTGCCTGATGAGCTCGAAATAACGTATTTGCACCGCCTTCCGGGGGACGTCGCGTTCAGTCGGTGGACCATGAATGTAACCGCAATGAGGACGACGTTCATCTCTTCGTGCCACGATAGTGATCCATATGTTGCTCCATCAGCAGCATCTCCTGCGCTAGGTCTTTTGTGTGCTGCTGCCCAAGAAGAACCCCCCTCTGCAGCACTAGTTCTTTTGACCGCTGCTCCCCGCCCATTCCCTCCTGTGGAGCGTTATAGTGGCCAGCGCGAAGGGGAGGAAATGGACACATTCTTCCTTCGACAACATCAGCATAACACTGAGTGGGCTGCCCGCGAAACGCACGAGGACAAGCAACGTCGGAAACAGAGGGAAGATCACGCGGCAAAGGGACAAGCTCCCGGTCACAAAGGAGCTCGCGTTTTCATCTGGGAAGAGTCTAATGGCCACTATATTCGGTGGGCAGCGGGCCATCAAAACTACAATGATTATTGGGACGAATTCGGTCCTGCTCAACGTCGTTACGACTCGTACTACGATGAATGGGATTTGTGTGAGCGATTCGGGCCAGAAGGGGACGCATCAGATGACGAGGACCATTTCGGCGAGGAGGATTGCTGCGGGCTCCCGGTGCTAGACGAGTCATGCTGTGGGCTCCCGGTGCGTGATGGAGAAGATGAAGATGACAATGATATGCTTCCGGAAATGCTACCCGACATGGAAGAGCTGGAGGAGGGACAGTTATCTCCACAGTTGGACATTCAGCGCACTGATGATGTGCAATCGACCCCCGTTAACGACGCGGAATCCGACACGTCCACTAGCACATCTATCGCTTCGACTGTTACGCAGATGGCAAATCTTCGCTTCCGATGCACCGCGACCAAAGGTAGTGTCCAGACCAATCTCGACCTCCCCGCCACCATGGTTGTCAAAAAACTTCTTGGTGATAATGAGATTGTGGTATCTAACGAGACCGAATGGGACAACATTCGCTGTTTCTTGGCTTACTGTAAACGAGCCACCACCTTGGCGGATATCCCAAGACCCTTACTGGATTTTCATCAAGGCGATTCCGACCTCTATTCCGAATGGGCGATACAAGTTCGGAGGGAAATCCTTAACAATGAAGTATACTATGTAATCTTCGACCAGCGGCAACAGCAGGACGACCTCTATATTCTACTACGAAGTGCAACTGATGCACTTGAAATAGTAAGACAAGGATGGGGCCCAAGCTTAAGGGAGGTGATGCAAATGCTTCTGTCTCGTGGAATAACTTTCATGACATGTTTCCGCTCCACACACATCTCCCCTGGCCATGCGAACCCACGTCCCCTTGCTACTCCGGTTTGGGCTTCCAACCAGCGAAATATAAGCCCGATCTCCAAGATTATCAAGCATATGTGTCGGTCCGCCGTCAGTTTTTCCGCAGCCCTCGTGGCCGTGCGGCCTTGCTCAGTGGAGGCATCATTGGCCGACTCGCGAAGTCAGAGGTCTCCGAGGAAGAAGTTTTACGTGGGCCGAGTGACGATGCTCTCGTCGACGGGATCTGTCTATGGGATGGTCATTCCACGTCGGCCTATTGGGACGACCATCTTACGGATCGCGAGATAGATTTAATCTGCGGTGTTTACCACGTAGCGACAGGTGAGTGTTTTGAACTTTACTTTAGCATAAAGATTAACTTCATCGTTAGGACAAAGAGACATGTATGGCAATCAAACCTCAACTGTATCCTGGTAGCCGAGACCTCCAGCCTTCGCTGCGTCCGGAATCAATGTTGGCTGGTGGACACCAATATGGGAACGTTGGTATCAAAAGTGCCTCGGACAGTGTGAGAATGGTATGGGGATCCTTTTGCCGCACATGGAATGGAAAAAAAACATACAGCTGGAACGCAAGGGGCCCCATACACAGGGGGTCGAAAGATGTGCGGCAAACATTCTTGCGGTTCTGCGACCTTAACACCCCTGTATAATAATACTAGCATTCTCTTGTATGTACCACAGATCTTGGTTAATTACTGCTTTCCAAGTAAACGCTCATTCCATGATCTATTAGCTCGAGTCCTTGAAAATAAGTGGGCACCAAGCGCGCTGATCGTGGGCACAGCCATCCTGACACATGTCATACCGAGATTTCTTACTCACAACACCCAATGGCCGATCGTTTCCCCGCGAAACTCGTTATTCTCCTGGACAACTTCGACTTAGTTGACGGGCACAGAAGATCCGAGCTACTGGTTGTGGTAGCAGGCTTGCCCGGACGCACTATCCAGAACTTGATTGAAAAAGTGGCGGACACAAGAGTGGATGGATAGTAAGTTTTCCGTTGGATGCTCCTAGTTTCTCCCTCTGAAACGCTAGACGCAGCCTGAGAACTTGGATCGTCCAAGTTTATGATATCTCACAATATAACATTAAACTCGTTTCGCCCCTGACGGCCATACAACTTCCGGTATGATATTTCACATAAATTCCACTCACTGCGTCCTTACAAAATTATCGAAGGCTCTGCCACAGCCCGCCTTCACCTCAGATGATATAGAGGAGGCGCTATCAGCACCGGGGAACCGAAACGCCATCCACTTCTACATCACGTTCACGCCTTACACGCGACTGGTGAAGCCCTCGCCGACGCCCAAGCCGTCCACCTGGACGACGTTTCTTGACAAGAGCTCGGTTGTCTCCAAGGCCCCGTCCTTCCTTGCAAAAGAGCCCCAGACGTTTCAGTGCATATCCAAGGACCGAGTTTGGAACGACCGCCCGGAATCCGACCATGGTGTGGCGCCGGTGGCTCTACTATACTCGCCTTTTGGAAAATTCACCGACATTTACAATGGCGTCCCGATGGCTGGTGTGGAATTAGTAAAGGAGGATGTTTTAAGGAAGAAGGTAGAAGCGTTGGCTGTGTGAGGCCGACAATATCATCGGGACGAACATGCAATGTGGGCCACCATGCTCCCTCTTATCAACGATATCTTTGCTGCACATGTGCATTCAAACAATTGGCCCAAGTTGATTGAATCTTCAGTTGGCTCCATGCACCAGGTGGCGAGCGATGGGCACCGCGATGGGCCGCTCGGTGCAATTACCTGTATTACTGAATTCAAAAAAAGTCTTCATTCGAACAACGGTGACGCCGAGTACGAGATCGTCGCATATGCGACTCATTCACATGCAAAAGCCACTCACAATCAACTCGACATATATAACGGGTATCGAGTACCGATGCTCGGTATGACCATCCAAGGTAAGCTTGTTTGCAGAAATACGAGTTTAAGAGTTTAACAATCTTTCCAGGAGCATATATCAACTTCTATGCCATAGTCATTGTGCAACGCCCTCGAGTAGTTGAGCTCACACCGAGAGTTTAACAATCTTTCCAGGAGCATATATCAACTTCTATGCCATAGTCATTGTGCAACGCCCTCGAGTAGTTGAGCTCACACCGATGCTTGGCTTCCGCCACGACGGCGCCGATGTTCACACCATTGACCGACTTGTTTGCGCCTTCCATGCTGCGTGTGTCCTTCAACACGAGATCCACACAGACACAGCCAGAATGTTGGCCCACCCGCACCCTCCCGCCCTTCCCGATCCAAAGTACCCTGCGATCACCATGGCCATGTCGTGGCCGGATAAAACTCAAGTACTGGAGTTTAACCTTATTGCATCATTCCAGGGGTCCGGAACCCGCCTTCTGTTCACAGCATCCCTAAACTCGGACATAGTCCTGGTTAAATTTTCCACCTTATACTGCCCCACTCTACATCAATTCTGCCACGAGCTTGGACATGCACCGAAGCTGCTGGGCTATCAGCACATCCCCGGTGGCTGGCACGTCGTGGTCATGCAGTACGTCCAAAATGCAAGCAGCATATTCACGGCCAACTTTTCCGAGGGTGACTGTGTTAGAGCCTACGAAGAAATCAAGACTCTCACGGATAACTTTCACCGTGCCGGATTTGTCCACGGCGACTTGCGCACCGCCAATATTCCAGCGCCGACCAAATGGAAGGGAGATAGATCCCTCAAGCTTCAGGTGGTCGACTTTGATTGGGGAGGGAAGGCAGGGGAGGCACGATTCCCTACGACGCTGCTGACGGAAGAGTTGCTTTGGCGGCGCTTGGAAATACCCGAGGATCTCCTCATCACCAAGGAGGATGCCTTGCACACATTGTCAACTACGTAAGGACAGCAGTCCGAGAATCCAGCCCTGATGGACACAAGTTGAATTTTGAGTATGTTAATCTTGTTTCTGTGTATGTTAAATAAATCCTGTTCGTACATGGCCACTATTTTCGTGTCGTCCGAGTCTCCAGATGAGGGCTAATTATCATTCTATACGAAAACACCACTCAGGGAATTCCTGCCTAACCAGCAGCGCCTCGGCAAGCAGCGCCTCGGCAAGCAGCTCAAGGACGGCTGCACTCTTTCCGACTACACACTGGGAGGGATAGCAGTCTTCTCACATGTACAGAGTATTAGACGGGTCGGAATGAATGCAATGTTCGATATTTTCTTTTTTTTAAAAAAACATTGCGTACTTGAAGATGCCACCCATACCACTATTATAATGCCATGAGGGTCTTTTTTATTTTAATCACGCAGGACAAAAATACATGAAGTTTCGACGTTAACGCCTGCGGTTGGAATCGAATCAACAGCCTCCTGTTCAATGTTTCACGCAACGATGTCTCTTACAGGCGCTCTTTCCAACCGAGCCACAAAGGCGATATTGAGGAGGAGATTTAACACTCATCTCCTGTCATGTAAATTAAATAGGGAAAAAAAAACGAAAACCGCCAGGATCGAACATGCGAGACTTCCTATCACACAGCTAGCGTCCAACAGATATGTCTCTATACACTGCTCTACCCAGGCGGCCCTTAATTTGGGTGAAATGGACTTATACCCTCTACATGGCGTGGACTGGGAACCTTCAAACACCATTTTGGACTTCAAACCTTCAAAGACCCCCACCCCCCGACTTCAGACTTATGACGAAGGTCTGGCCAGGTACTGGCCGGAGGGTGCGAGCTTAAATAGCGGGATAAGTTGACGCTTGCCTCAAGCTTGCTCGAATGCGCGTGGAGCTCACGTGGCCATCCTTGCTCTCCTCGCATGCCAGGCGATCATCGCCCAGCAGACGTCCCAAGGTGACACCATTCCCACCAACGATCCCCCTAGCACCGCAACCCTCCATTGCTCCGCCTTCCTCAATGTCGACGCCACTCAAGGAATTCCTGCCTAACCAGCAGCGCCTCGTCTTCACCGGCAAGCAGCTCGAGGACGGCCGCACTCTTTCCTACTACACACCGTCGCCAAGCGATGATTGCCCAGCAGACGTCGGGGGCGATCCCTGATGCTGCACCTCGCCTGTTCTTCGTACATCTCTCACCACATCTGCCAAGCGATGATCGCCCAGCAGACGTTCTCCAAAGGCGACATTCTCGCCTCCTACTCTTCCCCAGCTACAAAGTTGAAGATGAAGAGGGCGTTCCTCGTTGCTTTTCTGGCCAGCATTCTTGGTATCGTAACTTCGATGAAGGTGCCTTCAGACCCTGCATCCCATGGGCAATCTGAAGATTACGTCGACTTTTTCTCAAGATTAAGCCAGACGAGCCGGTCACACGCCACTCCATTACTCCTGATGTCGACGCCCATTCAAGCACCCTGGAGCTTTAACTAATACACCACACGCACCGCATAGCATACATATCGTCGGAATATACTCCGTGGTGGCGCTTGATCGATTCTCCTGAGGACCGTGCCGCACGGATGGCCCTCGCCTTTTTGCCCTTGTCTGTTGGGCGATTATTGTCTAGCAGATGTTCTCCTCGGTGTAGTCCAGCTATCAAGCGCATGCCGCTCAACACCATCAGTGACTCGCCTGTCTAGCGATTATCACTCAGCAGCACTCTCTATGGAAGCTGTTTTCGTGCCTGCTGGCAATACCAGGACATTGTCTGCGTACTTTGTGTACCCAGGTATGCAACGACCCAGAGCAAATAGCCCAGCGCTATCTTCCCATGCTCCCAACCGTCCGCGATGATGTCTCTGCTGTTGTCGGTCACGGTTCGAAGTGGCTATCCTTCTCTTTTAAGATCTTCAGACGAGAGGTCAGTCCACCTATTTTTCTGTCTCGATTCTTCACTAATAATTCGTAGAGCTGATCGAATCCGATTAAGTCCGATATACATGCAAACATCAACACACATAGTCACGAGACCTGGTTGACTTCCGACAACCATGTCCTCCCAGAGGCGGAAGAAAACAGTAAACTCGAGCAACACGGCCAATACTCAGTAATTCAGGCGAGCAGAAAATCTGATCTCCACTCACCTATTGACCATTCCTTAGATAAGAAGCGGAAACGGCAGTATGTCGACGAATCAAGTCTTGCTCAGCCGAAGCAGGCCGCGAACGGTAAGCAGTCAACCTCCCCTTCCTATCACGTACTGACTATTCATAACAGAAAATCTTCATCCTCAGACTAGGACGAGCCCGCGTAAAAGCCTTGGTCAAGGTGGCAAATTAGAGTACAAGGCTCGAGTGGCCACGGCTATAACCACGAATCCGCCACGCAAGAAAGCAGACCCGTTGGACGGGGAACCGGAGAACGTCAACAATGCGCGCGTCCTCAAGAAGGCACAGATCATGAGTTACATCTTTCATGCCTGCAAGACAATGAGCCGGGCGATTATTGCTCCAGTTCGGCCTCTCGTAGTGCCACGCACCAGAGTTGGGCTGATGTCTTCAACAGGAGCCCCCGTCCAACGAAAGGCCACTTCAACGTGCACCGCAGCCGATCGTGCATTGTTTTTCTTAGTCTCATGTATATTTCATTCTCATGTACCTGACAGAGCCAGCTTCCCGCGGACCTGCGGTTCGTACCTTCTCGGGCGGATCCGCCACACTTGGACTCTCTTGCCGTCACCGACCTTCGGTCGCTTCAACACCCCGGCACTCAACGGAACGACGTGTCAAGTTCGGCGGCGCGTCCGGACTCAGGCCGAGGTAAGCATCTTCCCCGTTTTAGGATCGTCACTCACCTGCCGCAGGCGCAGGCGCCGCACACGTGGGGGATGACAACCAACTGCGCTCATTCGCCGGCACTCAAGCTGGTCAAAAAATCAAAGGTTTACCACCCCGCATGGTGAGTTTTCTTGTCTCCATGCCTGCGAGACGACGAGCCGAGCGATTATCGCTTCAGCTCGGCGTCTCCTAGTGCCGCCGACTGGGTTCCATCTCATGTATGTGACAGAAGAACTCCACGAGGTCATTTGAAGGACGGGTGCAGGGTGAACCCAGCAAGCAACCTTTGACCTATCATAAATGCCCACTCACTTTCAGCCAGCCGCGTACGCCGCAGGTGGTCCGAATGTGGCAATGCGCTATGGACCGTCTTACGATGATTCCGGAAGTAAGCACCTTGCCACTGCAAGACGGACCCTCACCTGAAGTCGCAGACCTTGTGTGTGCTCCGACGACCTCTATTGACCAGTATCAAGGCTATGGATTGTGACTCGGCACCCACGTACGCCGCAGGTGGTCCAAACGCGGTGATGCGCTATGGACCGTCTTACAATGATTCCGGAAGTAAGCACCTTGCCCATTGCAAGACGGACCCTCACCTGAAGTCGCAGACCTTGTGCGTGCTCCGACGACCTCTATTGACCAGTATCAAGGCAAGTGTCTTCCCCATCTTTGGATTGTGACTCAGCCACGTATGCCGCAGGTGGTCCAAATGCGGCGATGCGCTATGGACTGTCTTACAATGATTCCAGAAGTAAGCACCTTGCCCATTGCAAGATGGACCCTCACCTGAAGTCGCAGACCTTGTGCATGCTCCGACGACCTCTATTGACCAGTATCAAGGCAAGTGTCTTCCCCATCTTTGGATTGTGACTCAGCCACGTACGCTTCAGGTGGTCCAAACGCGGCGATGCGCTATGGACCGTCTTACAATGATTCCGGAAGTAAGCACCTTGCCCATTGCAAGACAGACCCTCACCTGAAGTCGTAGACCCCGTGCATGCTCCGGCGAGCTCAGCGGAACTTCAAGCATCCAGGACCCAGCCTAGAGCCAGCCAGGATGCTTATCAAGGTAAGCATCTCCCTGTTTTCGATGGTCACTTACCCAGGCTTTCTCCGTTGCAAAGGAACAGATGTCCTACAAGCACATCGCCGCCGGAATCGTGCTAGCCAGCCGCCAGCCCCTGCCCGGTTACGCCGCGCACAAGACCAACAGGAACGACTGCCAAAGCGGGTAACGGCCGTCGACTCCGACTCCGACTCCAATTCCCCATCTCCGGCACCACACAAACCCAAGGGCCAGCAGTCAACAGATGACGACACTAAAGAAAAATACTATTGCGCCGACTACCAACGGTCGATGAAAACAGGGAAATTTATGTACATGCATTTAACGACGCACATTCTATTTCCTGACCCCGAGAAAGTCCTTCCCCTTTGCGTCGAACTCGCATTCAAATGCTTAAAGCAATGTCAAAGGGAGCTAAGATATCCCTTGGACTGGTCAACGTTCGAGAAGCACAAAACGGGCATGGCAAAATATGTCGGTTCTAATATTTTAGGGTATACTCCCGAAATTGACTTACATTCAGATTCGTACCGGGGGCTCGAACTTCCGTAACATCGGAAAAAATGTCACCCGCTGCGTCGTTGACGAGAAATATAAACAATTGCTTCTGCCCAGCGGACGGAGCCAAGCCGAAAAGGACAAGCACCATAAAGATGAGATCGACAAACTCCTTAAGAAGTCTTCTTTCTGCGCCGGAACGGCTGAGGTATGGTTCTCACATAGCGCATTATACACTCGTCGCTATATTTTACTAGGGGAAGAGAACCGATTTCGCCCACGAAGCCATCAAGGGCGTTATCGAGGGGTGGATCTGGAAACGAAATGAATCCGGTAGCATCGCCTTTTACAGGCACTTCGCCCGTGGAACATTCAATATAATCACGATCCCTCTTGTGGCCGCGGCGGCTACCATGGTGAGTGTCCCGCGAAGATCTCCTATCCAACTAAAGCTGTGCTAGATCCGGAATGTCCTCGAAGAAAAGCGCTACGGCGTCAGGAAGTTATCCAGAAAGCTTTACAATGAGTATTACGAAACGATGCTCGAGACGGCTCACCACGCCCTCAAACACCCAACTCGAGGTCCGCACATAGAAGCGGTCTGGGATCGGTGGATGGATGAGATTCGGTCGGTGAACTGCGGTCTTTGAAATGGTTTTGCTGAATCCTCCGTTAGAGAAAATCTCAATGACGAGCCATCTCCGGAAGCGAGCGATGATGTTCAATGGGAGTGGGATTTGGTGGGCGAAGATTAGTTAGTGGTTTGCTCGGATTTCTCAGTAGATAGAAATGAACTGGTGGATGGATATTTTCCAGGGTGTTTATTTTGAAAAGCTAGAATGCACCAGAGAACGCCAGAGTCGATCTCTGATGTCCTGGAGATCGACCCAGAGTTCTCCAGAGTGCACCAGAGTGCACCAGAGTACGCCAGAGAATGCCAGAGTCGATCTCTGGTGTCCTGGAGATCGACCCAGAGTTCTCCAGAGTGCACCAGAGTACACCAGAGTACGCCAGAGAATGCCAGAGTCGATCTCTGGTGTCCTGGAGATCGACCCAGAGTTCTCCAGAGTGCACCAGAGTACGCCAGAGAACGCCAGAGTCGATCTCTGGTGTCCTGGAGAAAGCCAGA